TATATATATATATATATATATATATATATATATATATATATATATATATATGTATATGCGTGTGTGTATTTGTATAAATAAGCGAAACACGTAACGATATATCATTACAAGCCTGAATTTAATCCCGCTCTAGTTCCCATTAATCATCAATCTTCACAGTCTGTAGAACTGGTTTGTTAATTGTGGTTGATATTGTTCCACGTCTGGCATCGAGTAAATAAGGTCTGCATGATAATGTGTTAGCCTTTTATGAAGAAATTCGTGCCCTGAAAATAAACACCCCATTTCACCCATAAATCCAACATTATAAATCGTCCATGATGAGATGCCAGCTTTAAACTGATAAAAAAACATTATCAGCTGATTTTTATTTTTATTTTCGCTTAAAAAAAAAAAAAAACAACAACCGAATTTATCAACTGGGGAAACCGAAGACAATTAACGATACACATTTTCCTTCCCCGTCATTTTTGACGGAATCTTTACTAGTAAAAAATGAATAAAAACAACAGCTGTTTCACATCAACAGATACCCGCTTATCTCCCATATTAAAAAACAATTGTAAATAACGAAACCAAATTAGCAGGTAAAGAATACGAGGTTTCTTCTAGTCGTGACGTCACCGACCGCCGTGTAAGTGCGCAGCTTCTTTGGCGCATAAAGCAATGAAATTCAGATCTATTTATAGTTTAATGTTATGTAAACACACGTGTTGTATGGAGATAAAAGCTGTAAGGAGAGGGCATTGTACGAGTGTCGACAATAAAATCAGGTCACTCTTTAAAATATTAGTCTTTGTGGGTAAATTAAGCTTTTTTTTCGAAGTTAAAAATAGATTAATAGTTATAAAGTATTCTATAGGCCTATATGTGCATTAGTCAAAGATCAATTTGGCATACGGTTAACTTGATTTGGTTAATCCCCTTAGTTTGTAGCAAGGGGTCGTTCGTAAAAGATGTATCTATTTTTGGAACTTTTTTTTTACCTCCCCTCTGCATCGTCACACATCGTCACGCATCGTCACAGCCCCTTGCGGGAACCCGTATGTCGGCTTTGAGGAAAAATAAAACAATTATAGAAGCTTATGTAAGCATCCGGGATCACCGGCTAAACTGACTGATCAAGTGATCGGTACTACTTCATCTAGTTATCTCCCTTTTAGGCATTGACTAAAATATTTTTGAATGACTAAATTAATATTAAATAAAAATGGACATTATATATTATTGCATTGTCATTGGAAGTTAACTTATCTGGAAAGTGTGAAAAAGAAATGCCTGCATCAAAACTGAATTACAAAATTACAAACTAACAGACATTTGGTCTTTATGACTAGAGTAAAAGCTTATAAAAGTCGACACATTTTTACTTATACTTTTACCTTACAATGGTGATGAGGCCGTATGCCTATGCTGAAAGAATTATTTATTTTCTTGATGTTTATATTATATCTTAATGATCAGAGCTGGGTGGACTCAGCGACGTCTTACAGACTCTAATCAGAACCGAGATCCGAACTCGTGACTTTCGGGTTAGCAGTCGAGTGCTCTATCAAATATACCCCAACATAAAGCTCGTTTGACAAAATTTTAAAATAAAAAATAAAAATTTATAAAAGTACACAAATTCCGAAAAAAAAAAACCCCAACCATTTTCAGTACCTTAAATGTTCACCCTATCGTCTTAACGTAAATCTCACGAGAAAGAAAACGACGAACACACCCCATCTTACCCTGCCCGGCAACAAATTTTCTGCATCGATCTCAACCCACGGAGGAACCATAAACATCACGTGATCACATCTATATGCAAATTTAAACGGTGAGTGTTAAATTGTTGACAGAGAGATGTGCGCTGGGAGACAGAAAATAAAGAGAACGTGTTGACTGTTAGTTATAAAGTGCGACAGTATATAAAGAGAACGTGGTGACTGTTAGTTATAAAGTGAGACAGAATATAAAGTGAACGCAGTGACCGTTAGTTATAAAGTGAGACAGAATATAAAGTGAACGCGGTGACCGTTAGTTATAAAGTGCGACAGAATATATAGAGAACGCGGTGACCGTTAGTTATAAAGTGAGACAGAATATAAAGTGAACGCAGTGACCGTTAGTTATAAAGTGAGACAGAATATAAAGAGAACGCGGTGACTGTTGGTTATAAAGTGCGACAGAATATAAAGAGAACGCGGTGACTGTTAGTTATAAAGTGAGACAGAATATAAAGAGAACGCGGTGAACGTTAGTTATAAAGTGAGACAGAATATAAAGAGGATTTGCCATCATTGCGACTGAAAATAAAGAGGAATTGCCATGATTCCACATAATATGAATAGGAATTGCCATAGTACTTTACCCAAACGAACCCTAACCCTCTTCATAACTTATAAAATAATCTTCCTATCAGCGATACTAACGATTCGATTAAGTGGGTCTGGCTAACCGTTTTGTTTTGGTTTCTCTTGCGATAGATCGAGTGGAAAATTCCGGAAACTTTGTCTCATCGTAGAAAAAGACTCTCCCCCACCCCACCCCACCCCACCCCACCCGAGAAGTAGCGGCCCATTCCGGCGCCCGAGGTAAACTTTCGTTTTTGCGTCCCCTCTGTTTATAAATAATTATTCATGTTTCTACCGGTTTCCTTACCAGTTTTTATTTTGGTGTAATTTAGGTGTCATACAATTGATGTAGGAGACAGTTTAATCAATCTGTAAAGTCAACTAGTAGTTTATTTTCTTAACTTCGATCGCGTATAACTAAGTTATAAAGCACAGAATAAACTTTTATTTTTTAAAATCCTGTTTGCCCCCCCCCTCCTCCCAGGGCCAGTGCTAGGGGTGGCCACTTACCCTTCCTCCCACTAGCTTCACCTCCCCCCCCCTTAACTAACTCCCCCCCTCTCTCCCCTCTCCCCCCCCCCCCCCCCCCCCCACACACAAAACAGTTATACCAAGCTTCCACATTAGTCACCACGAGTTATAGCTCCTTGTAATTATCCACAATCACAACTGGTGATTTTTCACGCGTGATTGCACACCTATTTTGTCGCAGACGACTTCAGACGACCTTGACCTTTCGCCAGTCAGACGAACATTCATGATGCCAACCTGTTTCTTGGAAATGGCGCTTCCGCCTGGCTTTGTTTGTTCAAAGGCGTGATCTCGTTTTGGACATTTCGGGTAGCCGTACCCTCATAGTCGAGTCTCTAGTGTCGTCGAGGTTAGATATATGGTTAAATTGATAGCTACATACATTTATCAGCGTTTTGATTATGAGGTAAAATTCACACCGTCAACTTAACACAAGATTTAAGCGTAATGGTATACATCCTGGTCTGATAGTACTTGTTGTTGGTGTATAGAAGAATGTGTTTAAGGATATGTATCTGTATGTGTCTTAGGATGTGCATCGAGGTGTGTCCTGGGATTTGTGTTTAGGTGTATCACAGATACGTATCAAGGTGTGTTTTAACCACACTACTTTTTCTTGAACCGAGGTTTAAAAATAGAGGAACTAATTCTATATAGACCACGAGTTTTGAAATGCATTTGGTCTATTTTTATCAATTTGCCTTACTTGGCCCTAAATTTTTTAACTGCCGGGTAGAATAAGTTTTATATTGTAAGGGGATGCGAGATAAGGCAACAATAAAAAAATAAAACCCAACTTATCTTGTCTAACCAGTTGATAACAATGGCATGCGTCGCACTCTTGATATGTGTGATGTCACAACCAGGAGCTAAAAATAAACCTTTTATCAATTGATTTTTTAAAAACAATATCAAATTATTTAATGCCGTTTTTTAAAAAAAATGTGTATTTAAAAAAAAAAGTAGAGCTAAGGGTTGTTCCCCCTATTAATACTTTTCCAGGCTTGTCTCACTTGTCCAGATAAAGTAAATTTTTTTCGCTTTAACCGAAAAAAAAAGCCATTCACAAAAATTTATGGCGTCATTTCCATATCGTTTTTATTGCACACCTATAGACTTTATCTTCTTACATAACTTTAAGAAAAAAAAACAAAAAAACTGATCCCTTTTAAATCTCAATAATACTTACCTCCCTTTAAATCACTACTATTCTTACCTCCCCTTCACCACCACCCAGTCCCCATTCACAAAGACATGGAAATTTATGCCCTAACAGCCAGCCAGCACAGTCTATGTCAATACAAGAACTGACAGTATATGTCTGAGAGAGGGGCGTGTTGGAGCAAGGCTGGTAAAACATACACCATACACATACGGTTTTAAGCAAATACTAGAAATCAAAAGCCCCAGCCATAATGATGTTTATTTTAACAAACACACCACACACACAGTGAATTTAGGTTTTGAGGGTTAATATTGTAGGAAAGAATTTGAAAAATGTCACTGGAAAATAGTAAGACAATTTCTATAAGCTTCATGCCACCTACCTGGCCAAATAACTTTGTTGACATTCTGCTATATGACACATTGTTGTCCAGATAAGTTTGTTGACAGAATGACACTTTGTGATTGACATGACAATTGTGTACATCAGGTTTTGAGATTCCATTTTAGTCATAGACGTCAGAGGTAAGGCTGACTGCTTAGTCCGTTATATTAGAGTTGGGGAGACATTTTGGTGTACATTGATGTGTGTACACCTGGTGTACTGTATGTACAAGTGTGTATGTGTACCCGGGTTTGACTCATTTGTGAACATGTTTCATCTTAAAGCTTATCAAATCAAACCTACCTGTCCCCTAACATGAAATACAAAACCTCCCACAAGCAAGTTACAACCAGATCAAACCAAATAATTCTTATTATTGCAGAGTTCACCTGTTTCTATGACATGTGAAGGGATAGTGTGGTCAGCACTGCACAACAGCCTTTACTTTACCTAATGAGTCAGGTACCCATCTGAGCTGGGTGGACTCAAGCTCAATACTTTTGGGTTAGCAGTCTAGTGCTCTACCTCTAGGCCACGCCATTCCCTGCCAAACTTGCCATACAATTAATAACTAGCTAGGATATTTTTACCTTTTTATTGAACATGGACATTGTTATCAAGCAACAATTGAAATTGCTTCTACACTGAATCATCATTTTCTTTTTAAAAAATAAATAATTTCAAAATTTAATGACACGTTTTAATAAAAGAAAACGATTTTTTTTGCTAACTAAAAATGACATTGGAATGACATTTTGATGATTTAAACACAGAATTTTTTTTTAAAAACAATGTTGAGTCCACAGCCTTTTTAGCACAGATTAATAAAAAAAAAATTGTTCTTTTTAAAAAGATAGTTAACCTCACCTACAAAATATACATTCACTTTCTTTAACATTTAACTTGTCATAGTCAAATATTTTAGGGAGTTGTCAAATACAAATATAGAAAAAAAAAATATCGAATGAAATCTATAAAAATTACTTATAATAAAAACAGCTTCCTAATTTCCACTTTTGGTTTTAACTTTTGTTTTTAACAAAGGAACATAAAAAGATTTAAAAAAAAAAAATTAAATTTAAAACAAAAAAAAAATAGCTTCCTAATGTTATAAATAAAGAGAGAGCTCTATTGGAATTTAAAACAAAAAATCTCACGAAGAGAGGCAACTCTTGTATAACCAACTTTATAGATGAGCCAGTGCCGCCCCTTTAAAATCACCAACAACACAACACACATCAATCTAGTCCATTACACTTTACAACTATGTACACAATCAACCTACAGATTATACAAGTTACTGAAAATGTTTTGGGTACAACCTAAAGTAAATTGTTGCTCAAGAAAGAAGTAGAAGATAAATCAACTCTCATTAACATTTGAAGATTTTTACAATTCTGGTTCCTTTAGAGCTTTCTAGTTGGTCCTATCACCTTTTGAATAGGCTAGGCAGCCTCTGAGCAGTGACTACATTTATCATAAAAATAATATACATTCTTATTTCTGACTAAAAATTTTGTGATTAAAAAATTGGTTTATTTTAAAAGACATTTTGATTTATTTGACTCATATTTGACCACAAGCTTGTTTATAAATGAATAAATGATTAGAAAAACCACACTTTTTCCTTTACCTCAGAGCTTTACATTTTGGGCTTGATATTGTCAGAGTGGGATGGTCAAAGACAATTCCAACCATACCTTAAGGTTACACAAGTCTATCAACACAAAAAACAGCAAAAAGTAATCTATAAATGTCAGTCAAGTATGTACATAAATAATATCAACACAAGTGGAGCTGACAAAAGGAACAAGATGGCCGCCGAGCTTATCAAAACATCAGATCCAATATGGCTTCCAACAATGACATTTTATTGTCACCAGAGAATTTTTAGCAAATCAAAAATAGTTTATTTTTTTCATCCTGTGACAATTACTTAACAGCAACAGATTTTATGTTGACGCAAGTATCTCACACAACTTCATCTGAACTAAAATGACACAAATAAACAATGCGAAGAAGGTTTGACACTTCAAATATTATGCAAATAGTTTTCTCTGTTAAAATCACGAGTGAAGTCATGTGTTAAATTGCTTTATGTAATAATTTCATTAAATATTCAATACAGTGGTTTAAAACACTTTAATAGTCAAGATTGTCGATGAAATATAAAGTTCATCAAGAAACACTTTTAACATTTTTTAATTTTTTGATATTACAATTGAATAGCATACTTTAAAAAGAATTTAAAAATAAATTGCAGACAATAATTACAAAAAAAAAACCCACTCATCCCCCCCCCCCGCTACTTGTATTCAAATTCAATTTAAAGCTTGAATAAAAATTCATTGTATCAATATTTCAAAGCATTTTGTTTGAACATGCAAAATGTGGACAACAAGGAGTATTGTAAAAGGTTACGGCTGTAGAAATAAAAAATACATTTCTACACTGAATTCACACAAAAATAGTTGAAAAAAAATTGATTTTAAAAACCATCCTGCTAAAATTAATTCTACAAAAAACAATAATTCCTCACTTGTCGTTGATCATTAAGATGTGCTTAAAACTTGGATCCCCCTGGTTTTTTAGCCTGAGAGATGTGCTATTAAAGTTTTAACATCCACACACCTGTAGCATATCAAATTGAACATGCATACACTTGTTAATATCGTGATCTTATTTAGATTAACGTTAAAAAAAAAGTCAATATTTTTACTTAAAAAGTGCGAGATTCATTGATGCTTTTTAGTCCTTATTCATCCTCCTATAGCCAACACGTAAAGGAAAGTATTCCTCTATTCCAAATAAATTAGATTAATGCTATATCTTCACAGCTGAGTTTACCAGGATTTACAGCAGGAACACCTCTAAACAAGCTAAATTACACACACACTGTGGAGAGATTTGAAAAGAATTCCACCCAAAACTTTTTAAACTGCTGAAAAGAGTTTGCCACTACCCGAATTAATTCTAGGACATCTTTTTTAAACTATTCAAAGTTTACATTAATTTATTAACAACTGCCTAAATTTCCAGTTAATAATAAACTTTGTTGATTGTCTTGACCTAATTAACACCAGTCCTAATACCAACATAAGAAATTTTTAAATGTTGCACAAAATCAAAACTTCAAAATATCAAAACACTGACACAAATACTCAAACAGGTAAATATAAATAGAGCAAGCAACGGAAGTATTGACATAACCATAATTGAGGTATTGATCAACTTTACTGGCTGACATACCCCCCCCCCCCCCTCACCAGCTTGGTAGGAATTGACTGGCCACTCTTTACCTATGTCACCCATGCTCTCAAATGACAAGGCAATGACAGTAATCAAGGAAGACCTGGAGAGAGAGACCAAGAGACAGACAATAACACACAAAGTAGGTAGGTGACACAATATAGAATAGCCTGTCTGTGATGTAGATGAATACAAATATTTTAGATTTAGCCTCAAGAGACGTTCACACATCTTTTAATTTTAGCCTCAACTGATGTACAGAAATATTTTTACTTTAGCCTCCCTAGAAATACAAATATCTTTTCACTTTAGCCTCTATGACATAGACGTACAATAATCTTTTATTTTGAGCCTCAATGCTTTATGTGATATAAAAAAAAATCCCATATAAGTCTAACAAAGGTGTGCAGCTTAGGCGTGATGCCATGTAATGATAACAGGATTAAGGCCAGATAACACTGACATACATTTTAAAAAACCAAGTTTAGCTAGTAGCATCTAGTTTGTGTCTCTATAGCTCTTGTGTACTGATTCATGGGGTTTCAAACACACAAGTCCTCTAACAATGGTGAAGCTAAGATTTTAATTACCTGACTACCAGACTCTAATATGGGGCCATCAGAAGAATGTTTTTGTGCTGTAACAGGTTTGAAATAACAAGTTTGATATAACAAATACATTTTCAATAAATCAGATTCTCATAGCTCTATTTCAGGAAAAAAAAAAGTTATACAAAGAATTTGAATGGTTCCCTATCAAGTTCACATCCGCCTGACTAAATTTTTTGCTTTAACCACATTTAGTAGTTTATGTGGATTGGATTTAAATTTAAACCAGTATTATGTGCAACTTAACATTCATCTTAGTTCTAAGAATATATATAGAAAATGAGTGGATTCAAGCTTACCTAATGGGACAAGTTCTCATGACTTATTTATGAAATGAAATCAAACATAAGATATTTGATAATTGTCATCAGAAACACAGGTAGATTTGAAATATCAAAACAATAGCGCTATTAGAAATGGGTGAGCATTGAGTTCCAGGATTTGACTACAAACCCACAGATCTTGCAAAAAAGTTTTTAAAAAATGGAATGGATAATTTTTTGATTTGCAATTGATTATGAGATTCTATTTCACTACAAAAAAAAATGTTGACTTAAAGCATCAAAACTGTAAATGCCCTATTTTAAAAATTTGCTGCAAATAAATTATGCTGACATATATAAAATTAAGGTTACAACTTCAAAGCCTAGCAATGTCAGTACATAAACTTATACCAACAAAAACCCCTGGGCCTTAGTATCATGATGAGCATAGGTAAGGGAGCACATAAAACTTAATCAAAACAACAAAGATTATTCAATTATTTGCCTGGTTTAAAGCTGTAGTAAGTAAAAAAAAAAGATATTTTGGCTAGACTTGATGTAACATTGTTCACATCTCACAGAGCTTACTCAATAAATAATTCTTTACACTCACTCACTAAATGGTATACTATTTATTATAAGTCATATTAAATGTGTTTTCATTCACCGAGCATTTAAAAAAAAATCATTTTTTGATTCATAAATAATTTTCTGTAATTCCGATAAAATATTATTTTGAGAATCTTATATAAAAGATGTATCACAAAAATTGTCACTCAAATCCCAATAATATTAGTTGAACTGTATCTTATCTGCTGTTACATGTATGTAGATCCTAACATACATGTATATAAAAAATGTTGAACCCCATCTAGCACAGCCAAGTGTTAAAAACTGTCCAGTTCTAGGCCAGGTGTATCCAGGTGTCCTGAGTTGTCTCTTGTATGGTCAAATACATTCAGACTTACTGGTCCTCTTTACTGGTGTGGCTAGGATTTGAACTCATGCTGACCACATCCACCTCCCTTTGAGAGCTAGAATCTAACAGCGGTGCATCTGAACATAAACAAATTTGATAATGAAAATGCATTTTTCAAAATTTAAAAAATAATAAATATATTTTCCCTAAAATTTTAAAATTAAAGAAATTTCACAATAGATATACCTTTAATATAAACAAATATTCTTAGAACAATCTAAAAATTTAAGAAATATGATACTGGTAAATATTTCTTTTCAATAATTGATTATGACCAACATGAATGTTTTATAAAGTGGTACAGCAAATATTGAATTACACTGTAAAAGAGACGAGAGGGTAGGACATTAACCCCCAGATAATTTAATCACCCACCCAGAGAAAAGCTATTGAACCTTATTGACAAGAGGGAATGGGAGAGGGTGGTTTGGTGGTGCAATGTCCTGCCACTACAAGAGATTAAAGATGACTACCACAGAGTAACATACCATTAACAAGACCATATACAGGGCAACCTTACATGCATCATAACACTTACCATCCCCAAGACAACACTACCATCCCCCCCCCCCCCCCCAGCATCCCCAACCAGACAGCCCCCACCCACCTACCATCATTAACATTAGCCAGCTGATCATCAGAAGAATTCAGACTGCCAGCAGTAGCCCTCTGAGATGAAATAGACCTGTTCGACGTCCCGGAATCAAAAGTTTCCACGGTGACGGACGTGGAGGCGTCGCTCATGCTGACGTTGACGGTGTCCCTAGAGCCAAAGATCTCGGACACCCCATCTCTGTTCATGGTGCTGGTAGTCACGGTCGAGTGCCGGTTGCTGTTGTTATTGTTGTTGTTGTTGATGTTGTTGTTACCATCACCCCCAAAGTTCTGTTGGTGCATGCCACCAGCCCGCATGCCGTTGTGGACGCTGGGCAGCCTGCGGTACTCAGATGTGGTGGGGCTGGTGCTGTGACCAACACCTGGGAGGCCAGCTCCCACGGGTGTGTTCCCACCCCCAGGCCGTACAGCTTCTTCGTAGGAGGGCAGGTGGATGCCTGACGCATCAGCATAGGCCATTAAAGCCATTCTGTCATGCTCATCTGTAAGTAAAGACCATAGAAAGGAAAGTTAATGACTATTGAAAAATAGCAAGCGTTTGTATATGCTACTTACTTTTTTCTATACAGAACATGGACATACTGTATTTATTACTTTCTCGTATATACAAAGTATAGAGAAAGTCTTGTAATCGTGCAAAAAAAAAAAATCGAGATTTTTACAAATCTCGAAGTTTCACATCTCACTGATACGGAAAAACATAATTTTGCAATCTTGTCCGTATGTCTGTGTGTGTGTAAACACGATAACTTGAGTACCGTTACAGCTAGGTTGATGAAATTTCATATATAAGTATTTTATCAAAATCGTAGATCCGTATCAACTTTTGAGCTATTTCCGATAACCGGAAGTGGTACTTTTTCTACTTTGAATTTTTCCAAAGTCTATAACTTGAGTACTATTTCAGATAGATAAATGAAATTTCACATGTAAGTAAAAAATCTAATTCTCTTTGTTCTGTCAAATTTTGAGTAATTTCCGTTGACGGGAAGTACTAATTTACGCTATTTCCGATTTCTCAAAAACGCATCTAAATTTATAAAGTACTAATAATATTGCGCACTGTTATGAACATCTTTATTCAGCGTTCGCTTGGTGTGCAATACTTTTTTCTATGAGATTCTATTTTATTTTAAAAAGTTTAAGTATTTAAAATGGATTAAAAATCATAACTATATCCCGAGTTCCCATCCCCTGTTGTTTTATATAAGAATATTCGAGAAAGTTTAGGGGAGATCACTCCCGGTTTATTTTTAACTTGCAACAGTTATGTTTAGTAGTAAAACATTCACTTTTTCTTAAACAATAGCTTTGTTTAAAAAATGCATATAAATTTTAACAATTTTTAATAAATTACTTTTGTTTATTATTTTTACTTCAACTTTACCATAATAATTCAGAATATACCATTACATACAAACAATATAAATAAGAATCTAATATTTCTATACACAGGAAAAACTACACTTTAAATCACAAGTATATTTTGGGTATTTAGCTAAAGTATTTACCTAAAGTTCAGATGAAGAAAACAACAACCTACCCAGGTAATTACTCTGGACCCGTGCATAAGGTGGAGGGACTGGGCCCTGTTGGAACAGGTGAGGCCGGGACTTTTTCCTCCTCATCACCACAATGACCATGATCAACAACAACACCCCCAACACACTGCAGGCTGTGGTGATCACAATCACCAGCGATGACCCCTAGACATGGAACAACCTCATCACTACAGAGTTTAAAGGTCAGCCTGGACTCATCATAGTAACTGACTAAATAAACATGTGCTTTAATTAATTAAAAGGTCAGGTAACATTAGAGTCTTGTCTGATCAACATATTTTATCTTTACTTTAATCAGTGTATGTAATAGTCTAGAGACATAAATCGACTATAAATCAGACAAAACATGGAGCAGAGTTCAACAATTGTACAAAAATAAAACTCCCAGAAATAGTGAAGATATAAGGTGACTTAAGCAATCCCACTGTAACACAAAGTCCCACAGCCAATAATATCAGTCCTACTATACTAACCACCACATACCAAAAGCCACCATCAGCCAACCAATCATAATCAAATTACCACCAACAAAATATAATGAGGTGATACTGAGTTACCCATTCAATCACCATACAAATACCACAAACAGATATAAAGCAATCAATCACATTCTTTATACCACCATCAGAAATAATACCGAGCCTCCCAATCACATTCCTAACACTACCATCAGAAATAATACTGAGCTATCCAATCACATTCCTAACACTACCATCAGAAATAATACCGAGCCTCCCAATCACATTCCTAACACTACCATCAGAAATAATACTGAGCTATCCAATCACACTCCAAACATCACAATCTATGATGAACCACCCACTCAGGACATCAGAGGAGACAACTCTACCTTATTCTTGCTATCACTTATGTCCCCTGAGCTGTAAGACTTGCCATCATTTTGCCCATCAGGGATCAGATCAATTTCATTGCCAGAGTCTAGACAGAAAACATAAAATTTTTATTAATCACTTTAAACTAATACATTGAATCTATTTATTTATTTACAGTAACTTTTCTCTGTTATTTATGGCTTCAATTTTGTTTCAGCTAGCTTGGAGCTAAAATTTTTTTAGCAAATCAGTTTTTTATTGTTTAATCTGATTAAGTGCTAACACTAAAATGCCGTTAGATATTTTTTATCATACAATTCAATAATAAAATTGTTCAACATAAAAATGTTTTTAAATTTTGACACCAGTATAAAAATAAAGTTCCCCTTTAGGACCTTAAGATAAATCGGGCAATGAAGTAATCTTCATGCTACAGACTTTAGTCTGAGATTTTAACTCAAGAATTTTAAGTTAGCAGTTGATTCGTCTACCAAAAAAATCACACCGCCCCTTTACAAAAGATGTGCAGATACCCCCACCCCTCCCCATTACAACACAACCTATGACTATATGACTTACAACAGATGGGCTGCTTCCAGTCCCACTCCCCTGTGTTGGTCTGGATATTCTGCGAACACGTCAGGACGTCGACCCCCTGCAGCTTGTAGCCCTGTAGACAGGTGCACTCTATTTTTATACCTGGCCGGAAGGGCTTGCATAGCGACAGGTCCGCTGTGTCCTCTCCGATACATTTACAAAAGCCATTTTTGATCTGGTCAATGTCTTGACAGTACCTGCTGCTCTCTACAGCCTCTGATTAAATGAGAAATGTTCAGGTTTGTTAGTCAAATATGTCTAATAACATACCCCTTTTTAGTTACAAATATGTTTTATCATCAGTATCTACTAACTGCAGTTTCAAATTTTAAGTGATAGGCAAAGTTGAGTTTATAAAGTAGAGTATATAAGTTAACTAAGACAAAAATACCAATCAGGTAAGATCTAAACTTGAGTTGAGAAAAATGTTTACCGCAGCTTGGTACTTGACCAACCCACTGACCCCTGTGACAAATCAGGTGGGCGTTGTAGGGGACAACAGGGATAAAACCCCTGGAGCACTTGTACTCGACCACCGTCCCCTCCAGCATGATCTGGGCGTACTCAGTGAACCTATGCTGGGCCCCTGGGATGTCAGGTGGGCTGGGGCAGTGGTTATCTGTGGAACAATTTTACAATTTAGCAACATTCATGTTTTTGTGAAACTGTGTTGGTTCCCTAGGATGTCTGGCAAGTGGTTATCTGTGGAACAATTTATCAATATTCAAGTTTTTATTTTTATATTTTAGATACATGAAAGTATAATATGAATCTATGGTTCAGAAAAGTACATCATGTTTCTCATATGTGGTGGAAGATAATCATCAGTAAGACATTTTTAAATTGGTCAATAAAACCTTTTCTTAAGTGTAAATAACATATTTTCTGGTAAATGAGAAAACTTGAACCCAGGAAAAACGAGGGTCAACTTTTTAATACAAGGTGTCTTGTAGGGCTGATATATTCAAAATTGTATAATTTAACAAGAATATTTTAGGGTTATCTTATAACTTGTAGATATTTCTGGCATTTAAATATTTATATTACTATGTTCATAGATGTTAAAATAAAAAAAGAAACATTCTTGATTAGAAGAGTCAACTCTCACAGCTAAACGTTACTTACTAACACATGAAGGAAGGTTGGCTCTACCGTCCACTGCTGTCCAGTGGCCGCCAGCGTCACAAACAATTTCATAGCTAGTCTGGAACGTATTCTCCACAGCAAAACCTGATTCACACACCACTCGAGCTCTCGATTTTGTGAAATCTTTCCCAATGTAATCCACTACTGCATTAGGAACCAAGGGGTTGCTAGAACATTCCGCCTCCGGGACGCAGCTTGGTGGCTCAGAGGGTGTCCAGTTTCCATTCAGACAGATGGCTGTGTTGTTGCCCACCAGGCGGTACCCAACATTGCATTTGTAGTTAGAGCGTTGAAAATAGGGGGGCATTAAGAAGTCAATGTCCATGTATCCATTTTCTATAGGAGCTACAGGGGGGCAGTTTTGATCATCTGGAGAAAAAAATATTTGCAGCGTTAAAATTTTTAGTTGGCCATAAAATAATTTAACTAACTGCTGATGATGAAATCCTACAAGGATAATCGAGAGTTGGATTAGTAACACTTAAAAAGTATGCTTAAAAACTAAGATGTAATCTGAGAAATTCAAAACAAATGAAGCCATTGCAGGATGGTTAAAAAATGTGAAAAGAACACACAAAAAATGAGTTACCTAAAAGATAGGATATCCAAAAGATGAGGAATAAGAAAATTAATGAAGTATTTTGCAAAACAGTTTTTTTTTAAAAACGATATTAAAATTTAAGCACTCTGTTTTAGTTCACATTTTGCTCTTAAGTAAACAATTCTTTTTTTTTACTGCATGTGTCATTGACACTAGGGCCTACTGTTCGTGAGATTGCATACATGGTACAAACACTTTAGTTATAAAAAAGAATAAATGGACATATTTTCTAACCAACTGGACAGACAAGTAAATATATTACCTATTGAAAAGGCTCTGTCTAATAGGTAAACAACACACATCAGAATACTGACTATTCTAAGGACGACGGCCATCATAGCAACCACTCAGAGAACAGCCTGTGAAGATAAATATAGATAGAGTATCCTGTCATCTAAGTTAAACCATGAATAAATGAACTGAGCTGTAGCTTAATGTGAGACAGCTGTCTTTTGGGGGACCCTGTTCTGAGTGTTATTAACCTTAATCATTCAAGCTTTAAGCACTGGGTTTAGTTAGATAATAAGTCAAAGATTCAAAAGTCAGTTCATTTCAACAAATCAGATAATTTTGAAGTTGCAATTGCCCTCTATTAACTTTATTTATTGGAAAATTAAACTGTTTCTAATGAATTTTATTTAAAAGTCTTCCATTAGGTGTAGCAATACATGCTAAATCTTGATCTTACTGAAGAGAAATATGCCTATTTAAATAATAAAATAGGTAACAGCTTATGTTTATTAGTATTATTAACTAGTCTGATGTATTATTTATTAATCAATTTAAGATAAGCCTACAGTTACCAATCTATATCTTTATAATTGGTTGCATCTTGCAAGAAGCTTGTAATAGCTGAGCCTATAATTAGTGGTAATGTGTATGACATATTAGTCACATAGAATGGGAATAGGGCCCCAGAGTTTTCTCACAATTTATTAGATCCACATATCCCAGGATTATGATAAGGTCAACACATTAGTAGGGTATAATGTACATGTCATTAATGTTATGTGTCTGCATTTGGCTAGCACTTTTGTTGATCAAATTACTGGAGTTATGATTTAAAAAACCAAACTAGGCAATGTGATAGAAATGAAATACTACTTAAGTTAGTCTTGCATAATTAATACTACACTACTTACTAATTACTACATCGATCTAATTAGGCCTAATAAAATAAAAGTAACACTTAGGGGTCATCCATAAATGACGTCACGCTTTTTTTGACGATTTTTACCTCCCCCCCTCCCCTCCGTCACACGTCGTCACAAAAAGTCACACCCCCCCCCTAAAATGACGTCACACCTCAACCTACAACCCCCCTCAAAATTGCAGTTGAATTTTTTTAATACATCGATTTTTTTTTCAAAAATCTTGTCTAAACTATTACAATTTATTAAAACAGTTATCTAAAACGCGAAATAACGTCTAAAATTCGTTTTCTAACATTGCTTTTTTATAATGCAAAAATGTGACGTCGCAACATCTGAACCCCCCCCCCCTCCCCCTCATCACACATCGTCACAAAATTACAGACCTCCCCTCCCCCCTACGAGTGTGACGTCATTTATGGATGACCCCCTAAGACAAAATATATACGCTATAGTATTTAGACAGCCTATAGGATTATATCATAGATGTACAAATTAATTAGGCTGATGCTAACCGGAAGAAGATGCGCATTTGCATAGCGATACAATGACCTGATTTTTCTTGTCATCTAAACGTTCATTGTTTAGGCCTATATGTTGTCTTGATGAAGGACACGGATAACACAATAAATACTTAAATAGTAGATTTAACTAGGCTATTAAAATAGAAATTTATACTTAGACTAGATCTCTTTGCTAGTCATACAATAATTTTACGAAGAGTATCATTCTTTAAACCTCTGACAACCTGCCCGAAGTGCAACAGCTCGACCACATAGCACAGATAGTATTGTCAGAAAAATAAGGCTAAAAGGGTAATTTGATCCGATTGCGCACCTATAAAGGGATAATTTGAGCTCATTGAACAACTATTAATAGTATTAATTGGTAATTTAAGCCTATTGTGCAGCTGTATGGTCATAGCATTTTGCATCTTCTGCCGGCCCAAATAGTCACTTCGAAAATATCATAATTAGGCCTTCTTCTATTCCTATTCTAACTAAAAATAAAAAGTAGATCTAGATCCACTTGACAACTAGTTAAACCTAAGTCTCAATGAATAACCTACCTGAATGTTTGGGTTGTTTAATGAAATTTTATTGGATTTATTTCATCTAGATCTAGAATCTTTTCACATACCCTTGTCCTTGAACTTTAAACAATTGGGTCTTTAAGAATAATTAGTATTAGTTAAGATTGAGAGAAGTTACTTTCTATTTCTAAGTAACTATTGTATTAGTATTTTTAGTAACACTAGTTACCTGGTAACACACTTAAACACAGTTTAGATTCTAGATTAGATCTACACGTCTAGGAGTCTAGATTTCTAACTACTAACATAACTTAGCCTACCTATTCTATATCCAAGTAAATCTGAGTTGGGTTACATGACAGATATAGCTAACTAGAGTAATTTATAGAACTAGACTAGTTTTTTAAAAGTGTTAAACTCAGTTAAACCAAAGTCCTAAGGCAAGAAAATGAAACTTGAAAAAATAGATTCTGATTTGAGGCAGAGATTCGACGAAAATTAAAATTAATTTAAAATGATGATGAATGAACGAGACTAACGAGTGGTTTGTAAAACCTAATCTAGATTCTAGACTAGGTCAAGTCTAATGATAACACATCATGTTCTTGTTTTCAGAACCGCATATGATGTCATTACTTTCATTGTGAATCATTAAAGGCAGTTACATTTGCATGTAGCCTTGTAAATATAAATTCATTAGTAAACAAAGCATAACTATTTTATTTTCGACGCCATCTTAAGGATGACGTCATAGTTCGGGGTTATACTGAACATGCGCAACGACCTTACGGAAGTAATACCCCCAACTTTCATAACAAACAGTGTGGAATTTAAAATTCTCATTCACTTCAGTGTGCCGTCAACACAGAAGCTAGACTGACAAGTTAGTCACTCACTCATTGTGGTTAATCGAATGTGTTGCATAGTACGTTAAATGTTCAGTGCTGTTTCGTTACATAAACTTGTTATAAAGCTGCGTTTTGCTTCACGCCTGGGCCCCTAAGGTTTAATGAAAAATGAACTCGTCTAGATTCTCTACAATTTACATTCTACATCCATCGACTAGTCAGTGAATTTAATTGTTACAGATTCGTGCTCATTTTGCCACATTGGCACATTCAGTATTAGATTTTTGATCTAGATTCTAGTTCGAACCTAATTTATTAAATTTAAAGTAGAGTCTAGATCTAGACTTAGATTTAAAAATCTACATTTCTGTGAATATGTGTTTCATTTGGAGCTAGAATCTATTCTAGATCTACTGATCTAGATTCTAGATCTAGTTAGTTAGATCAATGGTGATCGGGATATGTAATATTATGTAAACTTTAACTTATTATGTAAACTCAAGGCAGTAATAGATTTAGGACCAATAATTATTAATAAGGCCTATAGACGAAGAATAGGCCTTTTTTCTATATGATTATGTAAGTATATATTCTATATTATCTCTTCCCTTAAAGTTTATACTAATATACAGAAGGTGATGTGATATCATCTTTGCCCTATATTAGCAGTAAATAAAGTAGGCCTAGATCTAGATTACATCTTTTCTTAGAAGCAGGGAGGTGTGTGTGTGTGGGTAAGAAACAATGGAGATAAATTGTTTATTATGTTGACTTGCTTTTGCTCACAAATATGATCTTTCTGGTTTCTAGTTTTCTGAGCATTGAAAATAATTCAGGCCATATCACACGTTTCAAAATTTTTAATCGGTAGGGTATTGTTTAGTATTTGGCAATCGTTTTTTATTTCGAATAAAATAATTTCTTATAGGCCTAGCTGATCATAAATATTATTTTCCCCATGTAATTTCCAGTGAAAAAAATGAACGAGTGTAGCCAGCTTCTTGATCTAGCTCCGCACTGTTAAAAATAGGTTAGAAATTAAAAAAAAAAAAGCTGTCGTCTCAGTTTCCATATTTTCTTTGTCTCGGTCAACGCTGCTCACTAACGCACATGCTCACACCCCCCCCCCACCCCCACCCCTTCTCTTCACTCCCGCGTCCCAATAATTTTACTGTACCATGTTGGTTACGGGAATTCCCGTATGGTAGAAACACAGTACTACACAGCTTAGCCGGTACGTGGTGACTACCAGTCGCCTATTGACACGACACCACCCTTCACTGTTACTGTAACTATTCAGGAGCTGCGCGGTCCCCGCAGTCGTGCACGGTTATATTAGCACAGCTCAGTCAAGGGTGAGTGGCGGGTAACACGTGGTGGGGGGCGGGGTAGGGTGAATGACTTCCAGAGTTGGTTCAGCTTAAAAGGGGAAGTAACCGGATAAGATGATTATTTTTTTTTCTGGCGTTAAAGGAAAGTGTCACGCTTAAGATGCACACGGGCTACGCGTTAATCCCAGCTTTAAATTGATCGAGGATAATAAAAAAAAATTGATTAAGTAAAGGAAAAAAATCAGATGTGTTCCCCGTTTGCATCTAATATGAACATCAAACAGACTTTTCTTGTGATAGGACAAAAAGTCGTACGTTTTTGTGTTATCTATTAAAATAATCAAGCAATTTATGGTAGGCAACGCACCCAGAGTAAGTCCTTATAGTTATGCATATGCAAGTATATGGGCGCCCAGGACGGTGAAAATGTGTAGCGATCTCAATACATGTCTTTATAAATATTTAGGATCGTTTAGATATGCCCGGTCCAAAAAGTTAACCCAACCAAAACAGATTATACAAAAGATAATTTGAAACTTGTACTTCTAAATTTTATTGAATAGGGTGAAATTAGGACATGCCATGCACAGTTTCCATGGAAAGATTTGTATTTGGGTACCTTTAACCCTACCCCCAACCTTGACCCTAACTTCAAGCATATGCACTGCTTGCATCATTATCGGGTCCTATTTGGACAAGATCCAATATGTATGTATATTGGCGTCGAGGATAATATGTAGCGATCTCATAGCATGAACTTGATTACCCTTATGTCATGTCAATAGAGCCTGTGTGTCCGCCTCCATATTTCAATGTTCCATATTCAACAACTGTGTGTACAACAGCGAGCTGGCTACTGTTGCGTACACTACATCAAAGTAACGTCAGTGTTAGCGAGGGCTTACATCAACACCCAGTGCTTACACTACATCAAAGTAACGTCAGTGTTAGCGAGGGCTTACATCAACACCCAGTGCTTACACTACATCAAAGTAACGTCAGTGTTAGCGATGGCTTACATCAACACCCAGTGCTTACACTACGTCAGTGTCGGCTGCTTGGGGGGGGGGGGGGTTCTGGTTAAGGTCAAGCGTATACTTTACTTCTTGTTTGTGATTGATCTTTGTAATGTGACAAAGTATGACATAGTGATTTGAACTTAAATAAGAGTAGTTCGTATATAATATAGTGTTGTTTTCAAGTATGGTAAATCGTATGGGACTTATTGAACCGTGGCATCCCTGGTTAGGGAACCGTATCTGTATTTTATCTGGTCAGATAACAGACACAAGACTTTGGTCAGACAACAGACACAAGACTTTGGTCAGACAACAGACACAAGACTTTGGTCAGACAACAGACACAAGACTTTGGTCAGCAGACAACAGACACAAGACTTTGGTCAGACAACAGACACAAGACTTTGGTCAGACAACAGACACAAGACTTTGGTCAGCAGACAACAGACACAAGACTTTGGTCAGCAGACAACAGACACAAGACTTTGGTCAGACAACAGACACAAGACTTTGGTCAGACAACAGACACAAGACTTTGGTCAGACAACAGACACAAGACTTTGGTCAGCAGACAACAGACACAAGACTTTGGTCAGACAACAGACACAAGACTTTGGTCAGACAACAGACACAAGACTTTGGTCAGCAGACAACAGACACAAGACTTTGGTCAGCAGACAACAGACACAAGACTTTGGTCAGACAACAGACACAAGACTTTGGTCAGACAACAGACACAAGACTTTGGTCAGCAGACAACAGACACAAGACTCTCCCCCGGGCATCCATCATCGCGTCTTATCGTGTTGTGAGAGCCGTGCCTGCTCCCTAACGACCCACCTGGAATCTTCCGTCTGGCTCTCCTGTTTTTAGAGCGGGAAAGGGGCGGGGGACAACTAACATGCCGGTTCACACGCCCCCCCCCCCCCCCAACCAAGTCTAGAATTCTACTGTGTCCGAAAAATTCTGTTTAAAAATTTCTCATTCCTGTTCGGTTCACATGTACGTTTTGGTTTAGTGATGTTGTAGCTGTGGTCGGTGATGTTGTAGCTGTGATCAGTGATGTTGTAGCTATGGTCGGTGATGTTGCAACCAATTCCAGAGGATAATCTGTACGTATGTTTTAATCTATCTCCCTCTCACGTTCTCAGCTAGCTGGTCTATAGTCTGTAGCCGACTGATCCGTGTCTTCAGATACATGGACATCGGTTTCTTGATAACTTTTTAAAGACTGGAACATTTTCTACATGCGGCAAGATGTCCATTCTTTCAACAACACCGCGGGATTTAGAGATAGGGGGGAGGGGGTGTGGCAGACTTTTCTGACAGTCGTGCTACTTTTAGGGGTGGGGAGGGGTACATATTTTCGTATTTTAAGACCAGCAATAATGAAAAAGTGTGGTGTGGCCTAGCGGTAGAGACTGGTAACCCGAAAGTCAGCAGAATGTCCCTTAGTCCACCCAGCTCTGATGGGTACCTTACTCATGTTAGGGAAAGCAGAGGCTTTGCATAGTGCTGACCGCACTACACTATCATGTCCCGAGGTATCTGAAACAGATCAACTCTACTCTATCTGCCCTATGTGCATTGAGCACGAACGGGAAAATATGATGATGCTGAATAATGAAACTTCTAGTTTTCTTTTTTGATGATAATGGTTAAAATTAAGGGACAGATTGTTTGCCATTGGTGACGCCTGGCTTTTTGTGTCAGTAATAGGTGGTGTAAATCTATGTGACACTCCGTCGATGTCATAGTAGAACATAATTGGTGGGACCCGTGGATGACACGTGACCCAGTCCAGACCTACCAGCTCTAGCTAGCATGCAAGCAATGCTGACTCATTCAGTTCATTGACTCATTCAATTCACAAACTGATGCAGTTCACAGGTTCATTCTGTTCATCTAATCATTCAGTTACAGTTACAGTCTCATTCAGTTCATAGACTCATTCAGTTCATAGACTCGTTCAATTCACAGTCTCGTTCAATTCACAAACTCATTCAATTCACAAACTGATGCAGTTCACAGGTGCATTCTGTTCATCTAGTCATTTAGTTCACAGACTCATTCAATTCACAGACTCATTCAGTTCACAGACTCATTCAATTCACAGACTCATTCAGTTCACAGACTCATTCAGTTCACAGACTCATTCAGTTCACAGACTCATTCAATTCACAGACTCATTCAATTCACAGACTCATTCAATTCACAGACTCATTCAGTTCACAGACTCATTCAGTTCACAGACTCATTCAATTCACAGACTCATTCAGTTCACAGACTCATTCAGTTCACAGACTCATTCAATTCACAGACTCATTCAGTTCACAGACTCATTCAGTTCACAGACTCATTCAATTCACAGACTCATTCAGTTCACAGACTCATTCAGTTCACAGACTCATTCAGTTCACAGACTCATTCAGTTCACAGACTCATTCAATTCACAGACTCATTCAGTTCACAGACTCATTCAGTTCACAGACTCATTCAATTCACAGACTCATTCAGTTCACAGACTCATTCAGTTCACAGACTCATTCAATTCACAGACTCATTCAGTTCACAGACTCATTCAGTTCACAGACTCATTCAATTCACAGACTCATTCAGTTCACAGACTCATTCAGTTCACAGACTCATTCAGTTCACAGACTCATTCAGTTCACAGACTCATTCAGTTCACAGACTCATTCAGTTCACAGACTCATTCAGTTCACAGACTCATTCAGTTCACAGACTCATTCAGTTCACAGACTCATTCAGTTCACAGACTCATTCGGTAGTAGAATTGATCTCCACCAAAACAAAATATATCTGCACACCTGGAGGGAATTAATTTAAAGGAATTTTTTTTCAAAATGTGGGAATTAACCGAACCCCGGGGACTATGCTGGGTATTTACTTTAAGCTTAAAAAATGGGGCAGTTAAAAAACCGGACTGTTTTAAAAATGGGACGGTTTAGCCATCGATTAGGTCTTTACTTAGTTTATTGAGCAGACGGCCGTGCTGACACGTTCTGGGGAGGGGGGGTGGAGCTTTTAACGGTTCTGGGGTCGTGGTGTCGACACGGGCGAGTTGGATTAGCAAGGTTTATATTTAGATTAATTAAGCTTAGGTAATTAAGGTAGAGTGGTTTCATGTCATGATATCAAATGGGGATTTTTTTTTCCGGAGGGGGGGGGGGGTGGGAAGAAAGGAGTAGTGGAGTTTAATTAGAAC